CCAAGGCCTTTTGTGCTTCTCACCCCACTCCACCAGCGAGGAGGCTGGGGATGCACAAGGAGTTGGGAGGGGACACAGCCGGGACAGTGGACCCCAACTGACCCGAGGGATATTCCATACCATATGACGTCATGGTCAGCACATAAATCTGGAGGGAGTTAGCTTGGGGGGGTGGCAATCACTGCTCTGGGACTGGCTGGGCATCGGTCAATGGTCAATTGTTTTTCATTTGCATCACTTGTTTTTCTTGGGGTTTATTTCTCTCTTCCTGTTATCTTCTTTTTTTTTTTTTTTTTTTTTTTTTTTTTTTTTCTTAATTTTTTTTTTTGTCATCGTTATCATCATCATCATGTTTTATTTTATTTCAATTATGAAACTGTTCTTGTCTCAACCCATGAGTTTTCTCACTTTTACCCTTCCCATTCTCTCCTCCATCCCACCCATGGGGGCAGAGTGCGTGAGCGGCTGTATGGTGCTTAATTCCCAGCTGGAGTTAAACCACAACAACGAACCAATGGGGAGTCTTAAATAAATAAATAAATATATTCTTTTCAAAATACATTAAAGATTCCCAAGATAGGTCAGACATGACAAACAGTCCTAACGTCAAATTTTATTGTAAGGGATCAGACACATCTGTTCTAGATGTTCTAGAGAACTTCATCCTCTGCATTTTGTATTATTATAATAGTAAGAATGCTTCTGAAATAATGCACGGTAAACAAAAAATTGACTGCAGTTTATCTTCATTCACGGTTAATTTTAGGCATCACTTGCAGAAACTAAACTTCCATTTTTTTGTGAATAAATTTACCATGATTAATTACCATGTGAATTAATTTACCATCAAATCAATGGAAAAGTGTAATCCCCAGAGATCAAGGCTGGCTTTTGGCAGATATAGGAAGTTAGTTGCAGGGATTAACCTGGGATTGCGTTGTCACCAGACCAACTGAACTTTTACTGTGCAGCTTTAGGGGAGAGTGGTCTGACTTTGTGCATAGGACAGATTCATCTGGTGAAGAGTTTTAGTCAGAGATATCTTTAAGGGGGTGACAAAACAGCCTGGCTAGTGATGAAATTTTGCAATGGGCTGACTTCACATGGAGTCCCTCATATTTAAATGTCATAATCTAATTTCTTGACATTCTGAATCTCAAAATCAGATGAGTTGCAATATTGGCTTACTGTTTGGGTAGCATCATTTTCTTTGGTTTAGATACTGGGTTTTGTTTGTAAGTGGAAGACTGCTAAAGAGCTTGGTATCCTTCAGCTTTTGAAAAACTGACCTGAAGCTGGTTCCTTTTTTTTTTTTTTTTTATCATCAGTCCATGCACAGACTGTCTTAAGCAACTATGTCATAACATAGGCAGAACCTGGAGGAATCGCTGTTTCCAAGAGGTCATCTTTAGATTGTAAGAAGTCTTCATTCTGTTGGGGCACTTCTCAATACCCTCAAAAGTGGAGCTGCTTGTAGTCAATGAAGTTCCCACAGTACATTTTGTAAGAGTAGAGAAATAACTTCTGAATCACACTTAGTATTCTAGTAGGAGGTCAGTATGGTTATCGTGTGTTCTTACATTCTTACTGTACACCATGTGCAATGTAGTGTGGTCAGGATATCAGTAGATATTCTATGTATCTTCAGTAAATAGGTGCTTTCCATAGTATAAAAATTTAGAGGATAAGATAAATGCTAATACAAAAAGTTAACATCTTTTAGAAAAACTAAATGACATGCTTTTATTTTGATTGTTTCTTGATTGTCTGATTCAGAGATTAAGACGTGTCGTTAAAAATGTACTACAACATGCACAGTCCTTTGCCTTGCTTATGACACAGTCACATTGATTACAATTAGTCATGGCAGGAGTAACCTTTATTTTTTTCTTAACATGTTTCTAGGATGTGCGCTGTGTTTGGTGGTATCTATTGTCTTCGCCATTCTGTGCAGTGCCTTGTAGTGGACAAAGAATCTGGACGGTAAGGGTAATATAAGTAACCTTCTGTTTATATACAAAATGCAGATGAAAAATGTGTTAAGTCAATTTAAAAAAAAAAATGATTCTTCAAAGATCCTCCTTGGTATTAATAACACATCAACCTTGATTAAAAGTAATTTGTGTATAGGTCCTCCAGAACAAGGAAAGTGGGTCTAGAATATAGAAACTAAATTAATTTTCCTGTGATATTACTACAGCTCCTGATCACCCAAGCTTGGAAGACAAATCATTTCAGCTGCCGGGGGGCTGGTGATGAGTGATGTTAGTTTTCCTTGTGGCCTTACCTACTCTAATTGATTTTCATCAGATGACAACAAAGCCCTCTGTTATTGCATTTTTAAAAATGGAGCTCACCTAAAGACTCATCAGATTAATCTTTGCTGATAATGCATGTCACTCCAAGAGAAAAGACTTTAATGAGTTTTTAGGTAGATTGTTGTCATAAACTATGCTGCCCTCTTATCCTAGGATAAATTCTTTTACGACAATATCAGGCCTGTAGGCGGGTTTAAAGTTAAACTAAGAAAAATCAACCCAGTTTTTTCCATAGTGGCATTTTTCACACCTCTGTAAATTGTCATGGTTTCTGTTACATACATTCTATCAGTTATTAGTCTAACTGCAGACTTTGGCTCTCTTAAAGAGTCTGTTTTCAACTTAGTTTCTGTAATTGAAAAGTTAAAAATGTTCTGTAGAAAGTTTTGAAAATTAAGCTAGAAAATACATAATACCATTTTATTAGGAAAATTAATAGTTCAATGATCGGTGTAATGTGTTTACTTTCCAGTTGCACTGCACATTTGATTCTTTGAGTATGGTACTTGTAGGTAGATTTGTCGTGATATGGTCAAGTAGCATCTGTTTTTCCTGAAATTCTGTAAACAGCAGATTTTGTCTTTGGCAGTTCCATAAGTTTCTGAAGTTCACTGCTTAGTTTAGACTTTGAGATGCAACTGTGATAGCATTTCATCATGTGTGGTGTTGGCTTACATGCCTGATTCATATGCAAATGAAATTATGCCCCTTTCATAAACTGTAGGAGTTTTAACAGTAATATTGGAACTTTTTTGATAGGGAGCTTTATTTTCCAACAATGTCACAGTAGTTAACTTGCTTTTTCAGAGCAACAAAGCTCCTAGTTGTTAAAAACTTCCAAACACCACTCTGTGGAGATCTTAACTGGTCAGTGGCGCTGGTTTCCCAGTTTCCAGCTTCCTTTGCACATTCTGAAGACCTTTGAAATTAATGTTTCCTTTGTCAAGGTTATATGTATTCTAAAAAAGGGGGAGTGCTGCTTTTTCTTTAACCTGCTTTTATGTTTTGGATCTAGTAGGTTCATCAGGGTTCCAGACAGGTTTCAAGTGGGTTTTTTTAGGCTATTAGGCTGCTGTAGTGGTTCATTTATGCCATTTTTCACTAAATGAAAACCGAAGGATAGATTTTTGAGGTGTAGAATTGCTGAAATATTTTTACCAGACTTTCATTATTCCAAAAATGTTGGTCATTGCCATTATCTGCTGCTGAATGTGAAGCAGCACAACACATCCAGCTTCCCAAGCCCAGTCACCTGCCTTTTCCTTGGAGCTGCCTGCCTCCTTGCTTCTCTCCTCTCTTTTTAGGTCTCCTATAGTTTCAAAGGAAGTACTTTACCAAGTAGCATTTATACATCAAAATAAAAGTAAACAAAAAAACTATGTATAGAAGAGAAGGGAAGTTTCTGACACCTTTGAGATGATGAAAATAATGCAGCCTATGTCAAAATATGTTTTTAAAAAAGTATTTTCAGCAATGAAAGAAATATCATATAATAGTCTCTTTTTCCCCCTAATAATTTAAAGTCTCAAACATCCTCTTCACCATAGCAAAAGTGTCAATCAAAATCTCAGGTTTTTTGACCCAGGTATATGTTTTCATTCAGTTTTTTTCTCTTTATGTTCTTTTCTGTCACCTGAATGCAATACTGCTTTTACTTGCTAAGTCCTTTCCTTAGAGTGTTACTTAGCAAGCTATCCAGTTCATTTCTAAGATCATCACTATTTCCTTTCCCTTCTTCATGTTACCTCTTTCCTTACTGTGTATTCCGTCCCTGCACTAGCTCTGATTTCCTCTTGACTTTGGGCTTCAGTGTTTTGCCTAATAAAAATCAGCTATCAAATTGTTAATGAGGGTATTTATGAGTTACCGAGCTTTTAAGTCAACAGGCCATTAATAGTAATCGGTAATAGACAAATTCGTATCTCGTTGTCACTACAGCTGGCTGTAGTTTCAGAGACAGCTTATCTTGGTTACAAATAGGTTGAACTCACAACAGTAGAAATTTAATCAAACTGTGCACTGTTTATTACTATTTTATAACCATCTTCCATAGGCTTCTAGACTTCATTAAGATCTTTGTGCAGTTATTTTTTCACTGTTTTTCATATACTTGCTTTAGTGCATGTAAGGAAAATTTATACTTTGAGCTACAGCCTTGATTTTTTTGTGTTTAAAGTCCCTAAATATCACCAAAGTTTATTCCAACTCCTTTCTAGACATGGCTAACATTCCCTCCAGCACAAGAAAAGAGGAACACATTCAGTATCTAGTTGAATTGCTTTTTACTTTTTTACTATCCATAACCCTGTATACAGAGGACAGTCGATTTCATCCCCAACTATACAGTTATTTTTATCGTGTTACTATAGCCCCTTTTATAGTTTATGAAAATAAGATTCAGGGAAGACAGTGTGAAAGTATAAAAACTTTTTAGATGTACCTATTGTAAGGTTTTGGTAATCCACTTGAAATTTTCTATTTTTTACTTATTGTATCAGATTAGGTCTGCTCTTTTAATCTGTATGCAGAAAATCCCATGTTCTTGATACAACTCTGATGCTCTGCTAGAAAATAAAAACCACATCGTATTCTTTAGGTTGAGGAAAAAGCACACTGAATGTATGCATGATAATTATTTTTCTTTTTGTTGTTTATTTTCTCCATGTTTATTGTAGGTCACTTTTTGGGTACATCTGATAAAATTTAAAGTATTTTAAATTACATGGAATGCATTAATAATAATGGTAGACGTTTTATGTTGATCACACTTTACATATGTTTCCAATTACATAATCCTGTCTCAAAAATGGAAAAGATGTGATAAATGGAAATTTACACATCTGTAATAAAAAGATATAGCAAACATAGTAATTTACATATCTTTCTTGAAATATTGCATACTGGCTTTGTCAGTGCTGGTAAGTCCATTTCAAGGATGTCGCCCTTAGTCCATTAGTTTGGATAATGAGCCCTATAAAGTACATTTATAACTCGTGGCACTGCAAGGAGATGGATTCTAATTTTCATCCTTTTATCTAGACACATTGAAAGAAGGTCAATGGAGGGTTCTGCATGATTCATTGTCCCAACACATATCAGATGACAGAGACCTGATAATGTCAGTGCATAAGTGTTTTCCATATTTGGAAGCAGTATTTGAAAGAAATTTTCTCAGCATCATCCTTTGAAGTAAAGTGGAGACTGAAACTAAAAGCCCTATCTCTTTTTCTGTTTAAAATCTTATCAAACGTATGACCTGATAGCTATTCCTGAACAAAGGAAAGGAAACAACACTTAGCAGGAAAGTAAGAAGTGTGTAGTTGCTTTTGCTGGTTTTGAGTGATGCAGTGTGACATTTAATCAACCTTTCCCCTTCGATAATGTTTAGGGTGGTGGCAGGGGAAATTGTTTCATAAACAATAAGAAAGGTTATAATTAGAAATGAACTGTAGCAGCTTGGCTTCCTTGTTTATTTGCAGTATTCAAATGAGCACTTGAAAATGAAATCAGTTAGGTTAACGTTAAGAAAAAACTTCTTAAAGTCACGAGTGAAACACATGTTGAATAGAATGTGATTGAAACTGCATGAAGAATACTACATGTTTGAAGTTAAACAGTGCTCGTACCATTAGACTTCTTTTAATTACTGTTTTCAAGTTACCTGTTGATTTTTAATGTAGGTATATATTTGAATATAGGTGTGTGTATATGTATATAGTATCCAGGTTTCTATGAAACCAGCATTAGAAGTTAGTGTTATAAAAACGTGCTTAATTGTTAACTGTTAAATATTAACTGAAGTATCAAGGTATTGATTCAGAAGAATTTAATTTTTAAAAATGTGGTAAATTTCATACACCAACTGAAAGTTAAGTAAAGCTAAGTTGCTTGCTTTATTTATACTGTAAATGTTCTGATATTGCAGAAAACCTTAAAATCTTGTTTTAGAAATCAGTATTAAGCCTTAAAGATTCTTAGGATCTGAAAACAAATTCCAAGGAAAGAAATCACAGTGCATCTATGTTCCTTGCACTTTCGATAGGAAAAGCATTCGTTACAGTAGGTCCTCTTTAACCCTGTAGGGGTTTCTAAAAACATTTGCAATGTCTCAGTTTGAGGAAAATATGTACAATTAAATAGAACACAGATAATGGCACATAGGAATCAGCAGTAGAGGTTCTTTTTAGTTAATATCTGTATGCAGCCTCCTTTTTATTTGTCTCATATATATGATTAGTTTCATATATGTCATATGTAAGTCTGAAATTTGTTCTGTCGTAGAAATTTTTCCCCATTAAAATCTGAAATTTGTATCCTGTTCTCCTTTAAGCTCTCTGAATTGCTTCTTTCCTGTGGCTTGCAATTCTGTCCCATTTGTAAGAGTGTCAGTCTGTTGTGTTCCACTTGACTTTTGAAAATTTTTGTAGCAATGTCTCAACATTTAATTATTCCCATTTTGTTTGGACCTGCTTGCGTTCAGGAAAACTTTTTTTTTTTTTTTGGTCTTGGGGTATTTTTTTGTTTGGTTTTAAAAACTTTTTCAAGTATTGCCTGAGGCAGACTAATACGTGTTTGGGTTAGAATTTGTATATATTCAAAGCCAAACTATCTATCAAGAATGTTTGTGTTGCTCTGAAGGCAATGTGACTTAGTTAATCCTCTTGTGTGTAACTTAGAGGTAAATAGTATATTTAGTCACAAATACAGAAGCTCAGAAAAGTTCTCTTGGAACAGTCTGATGCACGTGTTTCTCAGAGATTTTTCCTTACATCTCTTAAGTTAATTTGCCATTTGTCAAATATTATTGTCAAAATAAACATCTTCAGTAAAGGTAAGTTTACTGTCTGGGGAAAGATAACACTGCGATAGAGTAGCACCTACAAAATAATTGACAGTATTATTTTTCATGTATCATGAGGTAAGAAACTTACGCCATTTTCACATACAATCAAATGCCAGTGTTATTAGCTTATATTTCGTTTTCCTCATAAAGTGACCAATTTGTTCGTTTTCTGATTTCATTATCTATAATGGCATTGCATGTAAAAATTTCAGTTGACTTATTTAGGGGTTCACATGTTAAAGAAATGAGTAGCTAACTTATTTGAAAGATAAATGTGTGTAATTCAATTTCAAAAAACTCATGCATGCTTTTTTAACCTTATATCTAAATTTCTTATTTTGGGGTGGGGTTTTTTTTGTTTGTTTTTGGTTTTTGTTTTTTTAACAGATGCAAAGCTGTTGTGGATCATTTTGGACAACGAATAAGTGCTAACTATTTTATTGTGGAAGATAGTTACCTTTCAGAGAACGTATGTACAAATGTGTGTTACAGGTATGTAGTAAAATAGGAAACATAGTAAATTTCTTTAAATAATCGTGCATAAAGTACTCTATAAGTTAAACTTAAGAGATTATTGTTTCCTGCTTTATCTTTGCAGTACAGCTTAGTTCTGTGCATAGTTTTTTCTCTTTTTCTATATACTTGAGGACATACTGTATACTTTCTATCTTTAGGTTTTCTTAAATTGTCCTCTAAATCATATTCCCCTTTGCCTTATTAAAAAAAAATAAATCTAATAGGTCTAAGTCTGTTAAGGATTTCATACTCATTAAAAAGTGTTTGGAAAGTGGAGGTGCCTATTGCTGTTCTCACTTCGGGTTTAGAAAAGTATTAAAAGTAATTTTTTTTTCTCTGATCGTTGTTGTTCTCCCCAAAAGCACTGGACGTATACTGCCTTTGTCTTCAAAATATCGCAGATAAGGTATTAGCAAAACTGTTGCAGTAGGTGCAGTGCAGAAATAAGCATAGGCAATGGAGGAATCGTAACTTCAATTCGTGAACTCCACCCTTGTGTATTTCCCCTTAACCAAAAGTGTCCGACGATGTTTGGAACTTAGAAGTCCTGTAACATGCTGCTACTAGTCTTGATCAAATAAACAAAAGAATTTGTTTAAAATTAGGATATTCAAGCCATTTTATCTAATGGCACTGGTCCATTTATTCATCATCTATTTTGGTCATTGAAAATACTACAGTAATGTTCCAGATGTGTTCCTACTTCAACGACAGTGATATTAATAAAGATTATATGGTTATATAACCTTCCCACAGTATTATGTTTAGATTGGTATTGCTAAAGCTGTGAATCCAAAGTGCTATTTTTTACATTTTTGTGAAATGCCATAATTGTTTTCTTTAATTGTAGACAGATCTCAAGAGCAGTGCTCATTACAGATCAGTCTGTACTAAACACAGATTCAGAGCAGCAGGTATGTATCAATTTTGTATCACTTACCACGTTATGAATTGTATGTATTAATATTTAGTTGTTGGTAACAATTAATTCATGCTTTTATTTTTGCTTGAATCCAGCTTTTTAGTCAGCTCTCTGCTGATAATTGTTTCATTCGTTAATCTCTATAAAACTATTAGCAATTTTATTTATTTTAGTTTGCACTGTATTAATTAGCTGCTGTTTTTAAGGTAGTTATTTTGCTTGCTTTTTAGTAAACTGTTAGGCTTAGTATTCTGTTATCTGTTAATTATTTATCTCGTTTAAACTTTGTTCAAAGTGCTTTTGGGGTTTTTTTTAACATTCATTTTACTGTTTGAAGTTCTTATTGTATACTTTCAGATCCTTCTTTAAATGTTTCTGCTTCATCAGTCTTTGCAGATCTTAATTTTAAAGGATATTAATCTGCATTAAGTGTTTCTTCTGTATGCTTCCTGTATTCTTACAGGTTAAATAGGATGTACAAAATAAGAAATACATGACAGAGAAATCTGTTCTTCCTAAGCCTTGCTCCTAGCAGTCCTGCATAACAGTACTGCAGTCATTCTCACCTAACAGTGCTCTGCCCAGTGTTCAAAAATGATTTTGCAGTCTCTTGCCAACAGAGTCTCCAAACTGCCATCCTTTTGGAAAGGGCTGTGATAGGAGGTTTTCTTTCTGTTCCGCTGCCACAGACGTTCTTGACAAAGGTGGCCTTGCTGACTTGGGTAGAAATTCTTGAATGCTCAAATTCTGCGAGATTGATTGCACAAGTGGTTACTAATAAACCAGAAAGCAAAATTGTATAACTGGCTGCAGTATTTTTCACCATTACTCAGAATTGTGTTGGTTGCCTCATACTCCATGTTACTCTGCTTTAACAGATGTTCTTTCTGCTTTGTAGGTTTCCATTTTGACAGTGCCTCCAGTGGATCAGGGAAGACCAGCAGTTTGCGTCATTGAGTTGTGTTCCTCAACCATGACATGCATGAAGGACACTTGTAAGTACAGGGTATATGTAATCTTAACTATATTTTTCCCTTTGACTCTATCAGCTCTGAAAGAAAATTTAAAATACATGCATATTGTTCCTCTGTGGCACAATGACAAGGCTATTACCTGAGAAAACAGTGCATGCTAGGTGACTGTTATCAGCAGATAAGAGAAATAGCCTCTTGTCTTCATCCTGTAGCAGTTGTGTTCTTTCACCTGGATTAGGAATCATACTACGAGATTCTTATTGCATTCAATTTTTTCTAAATTTACATGTGATAATTATTTATGTAAAGTCTTACTGTGATTTTCCTGATAATAAAGTATGTTGTTCTTTATTTCCAAACAGATCAAATGTCAAATGTTCCTTTTAACACTTATGTGGCTAGTGAGCTTGATAGTCATGATCTTATTAGTACTGGGACAACATTCTGTCTACTGTACAGTAATTATAAAATAGCACCAACAAACAGCTTTTTGTTATGACTGCTGGGGTTTTTTTAGATAAAAAAATATTAGAATTCCCCATTTTGTTTATTCTTCAAGATTGTTAAGGCAACTGAAGATGTAGTGGAATGGCAGATAAAGTTAGTGGAGACCTCTAGCAGACTGTTTCTCCTCCACTGTAACTAGCTACGGTTGTGCAGTCTTCAAGTGAAAATAATAAGATTTTTTTTTTTTTATCTTAGAAGTGTTTTCTTTGTAAAATTTTCTGCCAAGAGTTTCTCTTACTGCTATAATTAAAGGGCCAAAGTGTTTTCTCAAATAATTTCTGGGGAAAAAAAAAAACAACCTCTAAGCAAAAAGATGGTATCTTAATTAACAGATGTATGGTTTTTTGTTTTGTTTTGTTTTCAGACTGTCTTTGAAATTTAAGAGAATCTGTATGCTGTAGGACTTTGTGGTCTTGTGAAAACTGCTACAAATTTTTGTTTTCATAAGGATAGGTTCTTGGTACAAGCATCAAATATATTTCAGTATTAGTTCTAGCAGAATATTTTGAAGCATATGTTGTCATTTCTGCTGCAGTTTCTGCTTTTTTCTTAATCAGCATATACTGAACAATTAATAAGTAGGTTAACAGACTTATTTTCACTTAGTAATAAACTTTTCCTTCAGTAGATTAAAAAATATTCTAAAGCACGTGAATCACGCTGGTAGCTCGTTGTTAGTTTGTTTTTTTGAAAATGGACTACTACCTGAGGTGAACTATTAAATTGAAGTACCTGAAGTACACTACATTTCAGGGCTTTTTATCTTCTGAAAGTTTTAGTGGAGGTGAGATTATGTCCCATTATGAGATCTGGAGGGAAGGAGTGCATCATGGTGTATTTGAGGTAAAGTTATAAAAATTCTTTTAAGGAATTTGTTATTGTTGCCTACTGCATTAGATTCTTTAATTCTAAAAATATCAGAGAGATCACTTTTCTGCAAGAGACATCCCAGTATTTCCATTAACAGTTGTCTATGTACAGAGCTTCATGACTCTGTTGGTATTTTATGTGAACTTGAAATAGATGACCAAAAAACCATTCTTACTGGGTACTTACTTTTCTTTCCAAGTTCTGTGTCTGAATTCTTTTAAATTGATCACCAGGGACACTATGGAAGATAAATGGAATTAGAGGTTACCTGACCTAATGTTTTTTAACAAAAAATAAGTAACTGTAATAATAAGCAATTTATTTTACTGCTACCTAGGCTTGAACTCAGTTCTTTGCATATGAAAGAAGAGTGAACTAAATTAAGTAATTCAAAGTTTTATTTCCTACTTAATTTTTAAAAATGGTAAGTCTGTAATTAAGAACTTAGTGCTATAAAGCATATTGTTGATTTTTATCCTTTAAATAGCTGATTGACTTTATTCGAGGGTTACCAAAATATGGCAGGAAGCGAACTAAAGAAGGATTGATATTCAAATAGATATAAATTATTAGTTTCATGAGAATTTCTGTGGTCCTGAAAAATGAAGGTTTCTGTTATTCACTTTTCTTCATAAATCCATTTCATTTCAGAAGAGAAGGTACTACGTTCCTTAGTGAAATTTGTCTTCGTGTATTGAAATAACAGAGTTGTATTCTGGGTATAGCTGAGTTCTAGTTATGGGACATATTTCATAATTTTTTAAAAAACTTTATACATAATTATCTGTAAATGGGTTTTAACCTGCCTGATTTCTCCTTCAAACAATTATTTAAGATAAATATACAAATACATCTACTGTTTGATCACACTGCATAAATGACAGGCACATAATCCGTATTGCCAGTTGAGTGGAACCAAACTCCTTCACTTGCCCTAAAAATTGAGACTGTAATGATGAAATCATGAACTAAACTCATCGTTCTTCTTGCTAGAAGAATTACTTGAAGACAAATGTTGGCAACCACTGTAACTAATGCAGTTATACCTGAGTAAATCAAATATAATCAAAATATATACTGATGACCGTGACTCATAGCCATAACCTTAAAGATAATAAAAAAGATTTTATAGAAAGTAAATTATGTGAACTTTAGTGATTTATAGCTGGGTTTTTTTGAGGAAAGAATAGATTTTATTACAATGTTTGGGGTTGTGAACATTTAGTTAAGGTTACAGGGAGACTTTCGTTATCACCGCCTGCTTATATTTACTTTTTTTAGTACATATTCCTTTCAGACAGAAGGTTTGGTTTTGGTTAAATAAAAAATGAATATTAATGTTTGAATATAATCTGTGTGTTTGCAATCTGAAAGAGGAGCGTGCATGAAGGGTTAAAATTCTGTTCCTCCTGGAGTCAGTGGCATAACTGCAGCCAGGAAATGATTCAAGATATGTATGATGTACTTGTAAATAGTGACCCAAATATCGCCAGACTTCGGAGTGAAATGAGAAAAATGTCATGTGGATTTAAAATAACGCCATAGCCTTACATTGCTATTAAATTGATGAAAAATGTACCATAATGAAGAAAAAATGAATCGGTTTAAACTTGTACAAAGATATGTTAAACTTCTTTGTGATTCTCTGACAGATACTTCTCTGCTGATAAGTTTCCAGACAACCATTCAGTAGCAAATGAGTCAGTTAAGGTGGTTTTATAAAAAGCTTTAAGATGTGGCTTTTAAATATCTGAATGAATGGATGTAAAATCAAGTGGACCAGAGTAGCTGGTTCTGCATCTGAATAGAGACCCATGGAACAGAAAAGAGATCAAGAGCTGCATCAAGTGATTATCCCTTCTAAGGAGTCAGCAACTTCACTAGTTTGTAAAACAATAAATAAAGGAATTGTATGTTCCGTGAAGTACATGAGCAAGAAATCTGAATATCTAATCTGCATTATTCAAGCAAAATTGTGAATTTTCACAGATACAAAATTGGATTTAGTGACATAGATTTGCCCATGCTGTAAAGTGAATTTTGATTAATTATATAGTTACACAAATGCATTCTTGTGGTCCAGAATCTTTTCATGTCATCTGTTTCCAGTGTGGGTTTGCTGTACTCTGTGATTTGTTTCTGATGTGTACAGAGCGCCTCTTGAAATCAAGTACTTAGATCATAAATCCTTACAGGCCCACCTAACCTAACTTCACCCTTACCCAAACACAAAACTGTTGTTTCTCTCTTCCTATAAGAAGGTCGATGAATAAAATGTTGTGGAGCTTCTTTATTATGTTGTACCAAGGGATTGCATATGTCATAACTTAGATGACAGAACCGTTCTCTGATGCTCAGCAGTGCTTATCTTTAAATTCTCTCTGGTTTGTCAAAACTTGACAGTGTGCACACTGTTCTTCATTCTCCGTATGGCCGGAGAGGAGGAGTTAACTGCCAGCCAACTTGAGCTGTAATTTAAAACATACATCTATTCACTTCATCTCCTATTTACTGTTTAGTGCAATAAAACAAATTAAAATCTTGCTCATATGTTTTACTTCAGTGGAGAATGCTAGCTGCCTAGTGACTCCCGTGCAGCCAGACTTAAACTGACTGTGGCCAAATGTCCAAATTCCCCCTCAGTCCCAATTTAGCTCTTAAAGGAGGGTGTTGAGGAAAGTAGTGGTGTTTGGGGGTTTAGTATGTTGTTGAACTATTGGACTGTCAACACTATGCTAAGAATGTTCTTGGCATTTTTAGAGGTCATTAATGGCAAATACGATGTGTCATGCAGATTGCTGCTGCTTTTTCTGGTATCAATAGACAGCTATTCACAGAATTATATTCTGTTTACACTGACCAGAGAGATAATCATGAGATGTGTTAAGAAAATTTCTCTGTGTGGTGTATACCACTGTATTTCCATAACACAGTGATCTATATGAAGAGCTGTGATTTCTAAAAGCCTGCTGTGCCTTTTGAAAATTTTAAATTATATTTATATATCTGTGTATTGGTGATTGTAATTGGTTTGTGTTCTCTCTTAACAGATTTAGTCCATTTAACCTGTCCATCAACTAAAACTGCTAGGGAAGATTTAGAGCCTGTTGTACAGAAGTTATTCAATCTAAATACTGAAAAAGGTAAAAATAAATAAGTGAAGTATTAAGAGATTATGTTGCAAAAGTGTAATTTACCCTTGTAACTAAAGTATCTGTTACTGAACATCTGAATCTGTCATCAGAGTCAACATATGGTGAGGTGCTATTTAGATATCAGCATTTCAAAGTAAGGGAATCTATTTTGAGAGTGAGATTGATTAGACAGATGTCAGGGGGTTTTTGTGTTTTATGATCTAATGTCCCAAGTCATCTTCAGCTGTGGTTTAACTTCAGTAGAGAAGGACCATGTGTTTAGGACCTTTTTAATTTTTCACGCTTTTATCGTGGAAACATATTTGCTCCTCAGCATGTCTTTCAAAGGTGCAGTAGTGAAATGAAATATTTGTGAATCTCTTTTTTTTACACTATCCTGTTTTTAGTGATTTCTGTCACTTGGGTATCCCTAACACAAGTTACCAAAGCTCCAAAAGTTAGTGATCTGCTTTTCTCCTCCAGCTGCCAGATGTGTTAGTTCTAGAAGTTTCTTCATTTTCTTTTGCCTTCTTATTCTAAAACTGTCATTCATCATTTTGTTGTCTTCTTCACGTGTTTCCTTGTTTGCTGTTTTTAGCTGAAATTCCCTGGATTCTGCTTTATGCTTTAAACATAAAGTTGTTACACACGGCAGTGTTATCAGGAAGATAGATTTCCAGTGATTTCCAATAATGAACTGTTTGGCCCTAAATTCAAGGAAACCTTGCCAGGTACTTTCATGAACTCAGGCCTTGAGATGGACCATTTTGCATTCCCAGAGGAAAGGACCTATTGACAAAACAAGCAGTTGTTGCTTTGCAAGAAATTGTTCCTTACTTCGAGCTAGTTCCACAGAAGTATTTGAAATTTAATCCCAAAATCTCTAATTTAATCATATTTTTGGTAGGTGCTAATAGAATAGGTAGTGTGCACATAGATGATGTTGCTGTGTTCTAATGCTGGCAAAGCATTTTTAAATATAGTGTGCTTATACTTAAATACAGTAAATCATAGTTCTTCTATGAGAAGACAATACTTAGCTGTCAGTGAAGTGTTTATGTTCGTATGTATGCATGTTAGTAAGATGTAGATGTATTTTAGAATACCTATAATTGGTTTACTTACAGTAGTTGCTGTTATGCGTCATGAATGAAACATAACATGGATTCAGGTAGAATTTTCTCCTGTTAAAAAAATAATAAATGCAGTCTTCTATGTGGCCAGTCTTTCTTTTTCCACTCAGGACTCTGTAACCAAGAACAGCGTTTTATGAAGGGTTGAGTCCAGCTTTTCACAAGTTTATTTTTCTATCGTCTTTTCCATTTTTACTTTTTTTTCTCTACCTTCTATTGAAAAAGCAAGTATCTTGGTTTTGTTAGACAACAAAGTGCTTTTAAAAGGAAGTAAAATATTAAATAATATGTATTTTCTTTCTTTTTTGATTACAGGAAAGGCATCTTTGATGTGCCAAAGATGTAAATTTTTTACTAGGTTTGTAGTACAAGAGCCTTTACAAAACAAGTATGTGGAATACAACTAGGGTTTGTAAATAGAAAACTTTACTAGATTGGAGAGCTGCAAACACTGTTCGTGTTAGTATCTGTTAAGTTAAAGCCCTCTAATTTCCAATTTTTAATATTTAACATATATCTTAAATTTTCAAGACAGTGCCATGTGTTTCAAAGGCTCCACTGGTGAAGGAAAGATTAGCTTGCCGTTTAGTGTCTTCTAATCATTTGGGGGGGTTAGCATTAATCTTAATGTTTAAAGTGATCCAGTTTTTAAATGATATATTGTTTAGAACCTGACTGAAATTCTTCTGTAGAAACTCTGTGATCATAGTGGTCCTCAGGTGCACTGAGGCACTGAAAAGCTAGTTTTCACTGACACATAGGCCTTTTTATCATCAGGATGAGGTAGTGGTCGTATTTTAATTAAAATGTCAGAACAAATACTGTTGGAGTTATTGAAAATGAATCACCAGATAAAGTGAGCACTGGGCCATGGCAGGTCAAAGAGGCAAAGTCACCTGGAGAAGAGGACTCCATTCATTTTCCTGCCTAAATGAGGAAGAAGTAACTTTTATGAGCAATGTGAACTTTTAAATATATTAAAGAGCATCTTGCCCTGTATTAAGGCTCAGACTTTCACAGGCTGATGAATTTAATTTATATTTCAAACTGTTCAGTATGGTTAGCACCTTTTTTTTTTAAAAGTATTTGACAGTTATAAAAAGATACTGAAGGAATAGCATAGATTTATCCCTTTTTTTCTAATTCAACTGCTTTAAAATACTGTTTTGAATGCCGTTTTTAACTAGAAGTTTCTTCCTAGGAAAGAAGTAAATCTTGCAAGGTCTTTTACAAGCTTCATTTATTTTAGAGGAGATAAAATACTAAAACGGGGACAGCAAATATGCCAAACAAATAGTATCTATTAAGCTAAAAATCCATGTTGTGTATTCCTCCGTTGCATTCTGAACTGTTAAAAAGTGACCTTCATCTTCCTAGAGATTTTTCTGCCTGTGCAAAGTAACTGCAAGAAGGTACAGGTGATGAACAAGCAAGACGTAGTTTGTGATCATTTTGTATTTGTAATGAGTACTGTAGCACAGTACCATGTCCTCAGTAAGCACAGATAAATAGAAATTAATTATTTATTTTCATTTAGCAGTATTTTCACAGTTTAGAGTTTCTATATACTGCATATCACACATCTCAAATAGAGTACTTCTGGGTTTTGCTAATTCTTTATGTGTAGTTAATTTAGGGGGTGGGTATTACTTATGGATTTTTCTTTAAAGTTTCTTTTATTTAAACCATGAGCATTAGTTAGTCTCCTTAGATTGGCTTGAAGACACTCAACCTTAAAGCATGCAAAGGTCTGTTATCAGAAGAGTTCCCATACAAAGATAAACTATTAAACAAGAGGAAAAAAGTATACGTCAAAAAAATCTTTGCATGTGGAATGCAATAGCTTTGTGTTGGCACAGCCATGGAGGACTTGTTCAGATCATCATGTGCTCATGGAGTTTATCCAGAGTAAACTAGATAACGTGAAGTGGAAAGGAGTTGAATTTAGACCAAGCTTCTTGGTAGTATGCTTTTAGGTGATAATTGGTTCTTATGTGGCATAGTGTGTACAGAATAAGTAGAGTTTGTATACCTATGGTTGTAAAGAAAAAGTACAATGAAAGAGTACTTCAGAAAAGAATGGAAAGTAAAATTAATTGGCTTTTTAAAGAAAAAAAAAATTGCTTTATTACAGTAATTCCATGTTAATAAATTGACTTTTAGTTGCTGGATTACATATTTCCTTTATTACACGTGAACATTGATTAATGGAAACACTTTTTTTTTTGTCTTTTCAGAGACTGAAAATGAAGAACTGGAAAAACCTAGAGTCCTCTGGGCAGTCTACTTCAACATGAGAGATTCTTCAGGAGTCGACAAAAATTCATATGATGGCTTACCCTCAAACGTTTATGTCTGTTCTGGACCAGACTCTGCTTTAGGAAATGACTGTGCTGTCAAACAGGTTGGGCAGATCAGTTTTTTTGGTTGCAGAACTTTAAAATTAAAGACCTAAGGAAGTCCAATGCAGTCTACTTTTGTTCTGGGTTATTCTGCTTTATGCTAGGTAATTGGTACTAATGCAGACTGAAAGCTTCACAGCTAGATACGTAAAAATATTGCTTAATGAGTAAAGTGAATGTCAGTGGGATTGAGAATGGAAGAAACTCGAGAAAAGGTCAGTTGATATAGTAATATTTAAAGGGAGTCTAAAAGGCCAACAGTACCTGAAGATGGTGATCTTGGTAGAACGGTTACTTGCTCTAATACTGTGGAAAGGAAAACCTGTCAAATACTTCAGAAATTTAAACGATAACTCGCAAAATATATAGTCTTTCACCTGTAAGGGTTAAAGAGGAGGTGGAGTAGTAGAGAAGCAGTACAAATCAAAGGTCAGAAAAGCCTGTCTACAGTTGAAGTTGGAAGGATCATCACAGTAGTATAATACCTGCAGGACATAGTCACAAACCTAAAAGCTATTGGGGAAAAAACCCAGCATAATTACTAATCTGATACCTGAAGCTATCTGTCTCAGTTTGCCTTCTCTTTGCCTTAGTAGCACTGTATTAAAAAATTATGGTGTGATTATTTCTCTGAAGGAATTGAGGGGAATGTCATTCTTCTCATGACCTTGAGATAGTATCTGGCACCAAACCACAGTCAGTTCTGATTTTTAGTTCTCAGTATTTGGGTGTCTACATACCTAGTTCCTGCTAACTAGAATCGTTAACTGAGAACCACTTGCAACTTGCGTAGTAGTAGGCATAACATACCAGTGCTCAATTTAAGACAAACTAGTAGTGCTTTGAAATTGGAGGTGAGTAGTGAAAGCTCCCTAAATGAGAGGTGAAATAGCCACCCTCTATGTGTTGGCAATAGGAAGAATATGCAGGGAAACCAGATCTTCAAAAGTAGGTACATAGAAATTCACAAAGAGCTTCCTGTCATACCTTTCACTGTGCCTTCTCAACTATTATTGAGCAGAAGACAACAAAATCATGTGAATATGTAGATTATGACTTTGTTCAATGAAAGACAACTACGGCAATGCTTCTTGTTTGCTCTTCCATTCGGAGATCCACCTTGTAAGGCAGGCGTAAATTCTTAGGCAAATCTACCGCAGTAGTTGCTGTGGTGTCAGGGTGCTTTCAGAGCTCATGTGAGAACGCTTTTACATCTTTGTAGGATTAACTGGCACTAGTCATTTTTAAAACTTTTTTTTTTTAATGGCTGTGTTCAGATAAAGTGCATGCCATCTTCTAACCAGTTGCAGGATTTTTTATGACTAAGTCATAAACCTCTTAAAATAAGATTTTAAAATGGAAAGGCTGACATAGCCTGATCTGTAGGGTCAGAACAGTATAATTAAGGGCTAATAGTACCCTTCATTTTGCTTTACAAGGCAATAATTTGCTTCCCAAGAGGATAAAAAATTGTAAAGACAAAAAGTAATGCAAGACAATTATTATGGTAGCAGTTTTAAATTGTTAGTTCTTTCCTAAATGAGATTTTTTAAACTGTTATTTAAAACAATGCAAGTTAAAGGCTCTTTAAGTACACTTAAAACCCAGCCTATTTCTAATTCCGATAGCCATCTTTCCTAGCATTCAGCTTTGTCTTACCTTAAGAGCTCTTTTTCTTACCAATGAGTAACGGTATTATAGATGAAGCTGTGTTTAAATATTCTATGTGCTGTATTAGCCTTTGTGTTAAATCTATTGACCATCAGTGAGATCGATGTTAAACAAGCAGACCTCAGTGGAGAAACAGCCAAGAGCCTAAACTACTACCTTTCAGAAAGAGTATATAGAGGCTACATTTTTTTTGAGTCTATTTTAGGTTTTGAAACAAATGGTCACTAGTTAGTGAGAAATATTTTAGTGTAAACATGTTTATAATTAAAACTCGTAAGGGAAAATAAGCGAGGAGCGTATGTGAAAACAAAGTGAAGAACAGGCTGAAGATAAAGCAGGACTTGTAGTTAGAATAAACCCTTCCCATCTAGCGTGCAGGTACCTTCTAGACAAGTGGAGGAGGGAAATACATGTAAGTTGATGTGCCTTTTACCCCCAAACCACTTTCATCTTCCTAGCAGTGTGATGGGAATGTCCAAACATGAAATATTTACAAACTCATAGATCAGAACACTTTAAAAAACAAACAAAAACCACTGTGTATATTAGTCTTGGAGATAGCGTGGAAAATTGAATCTAATTTCTCTCATCAATTCTGTGTTTACTGTTTTGATGATATTTCCCATGATTTATGTTTTCATTACCATTAGTATTACTAACTTCTATATGTCATGCTGTTTGATTGTATTGATGATACATTATTTAGAAGGCAAGACACCACAACTTTTACAGACGATTATCCGTCCACAGTTCAGTGTACAAATGACTTCATTTTTGTTTTAATTTGGTGTTAAATATCTAGTATAATATTGAATTAATTTTGATGTCTGCATTTACTTGCCCTGAGGATAGGCTAAGTAAAATGTAAAGTGCCATTTATGACTTCTTCAAATTCTGTATGTATGGATCAACTAAAGCATCTGGCTTTCAGTTTTCTATTTTTTCCCTGCTACAACCTGACATGAATTACCATGTTCTAAAGTAGTATGTTCCATGAAGTAGAAGATTTCTTAGGAATCTTCATGTTCATAAGAGGAAGCACTAAAATTGTCATGCCAATGTTTGTCCTTTAACCTGTTCACATTTTTTTTTTCTATATCTGGAGCGATTTCAGAGTTATTCAAGTATGTTGTATTTCAAACTACTGTTAGTTTGGTAGCGTTCTCTGTGAAAGTTGCTATGAAAGCCCATACAGCTTGTCCACATGCCATCAAGGTGGGTAGTTGGGATGCAGTAAAACAGTAACAAACCAGTTTTATTCAACTTCAAACAGGATAACAGTTATTAAATTAGAGTATCTATGCAATTGTACCTGCTAATGTCTTAATGCTTAATTCAAATGTACAGACTTGAAAGCTGGTACGCTTAACTACTAAATATTAAAAGAACTATTTACTAACTGAATTGGTTACAATAAGTATCAAAGTGTTATAATGAAGGAGCTGTTAAATTATTATTGGTTATTCTGCATGACTTCAGCTGGATAAGGTTAACTTAAAAAATTGGTAGACCTGAAAGCACTCTATACCATTAAATTGTTCAATTATAATCAATGTCATGATGTCCTACATAACATACTGAAATTTTCTTTCCATGTTCAACCTCATAATTATTTGACCATTTTTGGAGTGGATATTTGCTGCCTAATTGTTGAGAACTGCATAGGAAATGTTTATCTGCTGTAGTTTGTCTTACATTTAGTGCAAAATATGACACTTTTCTTCAATATTCTATTAATGTAATAATAAGTATATTTTTGGAGTTTGAAGGAGAAGCGCGGACTTGAAATAAAAAGTCTTTCTCCTATGTTCAAAAACTTAGTTTTGTAAACTTTTTGTAGGATATCTGTACCCCCGTGCCCTCCCGACTTAGTGGGTAAGGTTTTTAAATTACAAAACCATGTTTTTGAAGTAGAGAAGAGAAAGTTTTCATATATTTTTTTTTCATACACTAATATAAATAGTTTTAAACAGTTTTAAATGGGTATGGAAGAGTGAAATTTAGGAAGCAGAATGAAAAATTAAATTGAACTGAGAGTAGGCAGAGTCATTTAAGCAGTTAATAATGGAGTCCTACATCCACGTGCTGATGATACAAATCCATTGCTGGTGGGCAGTGACGTTTATCACAGAAAGCTGTTTGGTACATGCTCAATGATGTATTAATCTGAAAACAATTCCCTCTTGTCCAGGAATCCACATCATGTAATCAGCCTTTGCAGTTGGCATTAACTGACCCTACTGTCAGCTTTTTCAGTGCACTGTCTGGTAGCAGTATGAATATAAAGATTAAATGCGTTCTTGCTTATGTGGGAGCTCTCATCACAGGTTGTCTTTAGGGCATGGTTTCCTAAACAGACGAAATCAAGAGGCAGTATTCCTTTGTCTTTGTAGAAACCCAAAACATAACTGTGATCTGCATCAGTTGTCTCCATTTGCCTTAAACTTAAGGACTCAGAAAAGGAAACCATTACGGAAATGTGAAGTCTGTGTTGATTCAGTAAATAAATTCCTGAGCATTTCTAGCGGTTTCGGGGTTTTAGTTTTTTTGTAAGATAAGCTTATAGATGGGTTATTTGCACAAGAATATGTAAAACTATTTAATGCAAGTTAACAAAGTTCCTTGCATTTTTGTGTTTTTAAAGGATTTTTGGCCTCCTTATTTTTAATAAAATGTCTGGTTCTCAAGAATTCTAAGACCATATTCTTTGGGGTCTTTTTCTCTCAGATTTGGTAGTTGTATTCTTTATGTTCTAATAACAGCTACTCTGATGTTGTCAAGAACGCATTTCTCTTTAATGTCTTTCATTGCAGTGGTCAAAAAACTTGACTTTTTTGTGCATACGTAATTTCTAAACCTTGATGGCATAAAGAGTAAGTGGCATTGTAAATTAAATCCTTGAGCATTATCTTAAGAGTAACTCTCTTTTTGTCTACATAAAAGTTGCATATACGGTTCTTTTCAGAAAGGCACAGAGGTGTATGCATATAGTCATTGAAACGATGGACATGTTTTTTGAATAAATTTTAAAAATATCATTTACAAATATGCATGTATTTTCAGTGATAATATTCCATTGGATGAGAATAGTTCTCAGTTGAGCTACACATCAACTGTTCAGAAAAACAGAAATGAAATTTTTTGGTGGTTTTTAAATTCAAGAAGGAAATCTGTATAGATATCATGTAGCTCATACATATTAACAGTTTCCTGGGTTTGCTCGTTATGTGAAGTGGGTTCTTTCTGGAAAGAGGCAAGATATTTCCCATGCTTTGCATTTGACTGCACCTAGGGATATTTTTATAGTGGAAAAGATCATTTGCTTGCAAAAAATCATCTTCGTTGTTCTCAATACAATGTAGAACAACCAGCATTTTTTAAAAAGCCCTGTGCTGTGATTTTCCTAGTAGAACAATGTAAAGGGATAGATTACTTTTTTGAGGACTGCAAGAAGGAATGGATTTCCCATGTGTTTACAATACTGTCAAAGTATTAAATCACTATTGATTTGAAAGAACAGAAGTTAATTTTAAATATCTGTAAAATATTGCTGCATTTCAAGGTAAATATTTTATGCTTTTTTTCTGAATAGGCTGAGACTATTTTCCAAGAAATGTTTCCTGCAGAGGAATTTTGCCCACCACCACCAAATCCAGAAGATATTATTTACGATGAAGATGAGATTGCACCGGAAGAGTCTGGATTTGATAATTCACCAGAGACAAAACCTGAACCCTCAAGTGAAGAAAGCAGTAGCGGGGATAGTTCTGCTGTTAAGAAGGAAGATAATGAAGAATGAATTAGCTCTGTTCTCTTAGTAGAAGAGGAGGTTGATCCAAACTAAAATGTAAGGGAGGAAGGGTAAGAAAAAGAGGTTTCAAAAAACCATAGCTGTATTATTTGCAATTGCCTTACTTACCTTAGCTTGAATACTCTTTCCTCATCAAATAGTTTCATTGATAGCTGAGATATTTCTGAATAGTCATAGGCTCACCAGATCCAGGGGTGTTTGTAGCTGAACAAAAACCATAGACCAAAGCATTTGAATTTAAAAAGCTAAAATAGGATTCATGATTTGTTGAGAGAATTTGGTTTTGTTTTGCATCTTGGAAGGAATCCTGCTTCTTTTAAACAGGCAACAAGTAGCAACTAATCAAAAGAAAGAATGTACAAGTTTGCTCACCAGTCAGAAGATGATCTTCTGATACACGTGTCACAGTTCTAGTAAAAATCATTGGGTCTATGCTAATGAAACAGTTGAAGGTGAGCTTCACAATCTGTCCTTCAAAGTGGTCTTATGAATGGAACTTAAAGGCAATAAATATTGACAGTTCTGGGGTGGCTTTAGAATATGTAATATTTGTCATGTTTAATTTGTATCATGAAAAATTTTTTGTCTGGTTTTGAAATTGATGCCGTAATTTAGAAGCAAATATAATCCAATAGATGTTCCTCACATTAAACTATTTTACATCAAAATTGTTTAAAAAGATCTAGTAGTTGCACAATCACACATTTACACTAGTGACCTAATTTACTGTAGTTAGGAAAATAGCACAAGTAATGCTAGACTTCCAGACAAAAATCATAGATGAAGCGTGTATGTTGTTAGCTTCCCTGGATTTGTCGCAGTGTTTGGGCCTTTAATAAGAGAGTAGTTAATTTTTTGAAGTGTGGTGTCTGAGGAGTTTAGATGATCATTAATTGAGGGGGTTTGTGGTGGGGAAAAGGTTCAACTGATAATTCCAAAGGTTTGTATTGATCCCAGTTCATAGGATTAAAATTAGTGTGATAGCTGTAAATTATGCATTTTGTAATGATAAATCATAAAGCATTTATATCATAAAATTTATTGAAGTATTTATAAGCCTAGTTTGTATGAAAAATTACAAAATGAGAAAGCTGTTGTAAATGACCATGATAAACTTGCACTTCTTCTGAACAATGCTTGAAATTAGATATCCAGGTGATGAAAAATATTTAGCGTTCCCTTAAAGATTTACCTTAAAATGTACACCCAATAGATCAGTAGTATATTTAAATAGAGATCAGTGAATTTTGATGAGTCGGGGTTTAAACTTCTACATGAACTTAAGAGATAGTTCTAGCAGTGCTTAAATACTGTACGTAAATAAAAAATGCCGTTGAATGATGAATATTCAGCACTGCTTGAACTTGACGCATCCAGGCTTTTGTACAGTTTTGCGGTGCACGTGCCTGCCTTTAAAATGGCTTCATGCCATAAAGGTTAATTTATTTATTTTTTTACAGCGTAAATGATACAGTTAACTTCACTTTGTCTTGCATTATAATGCGTTGTCCAATTTGCATTTCAAAAACCAGTTTGTTAGTGTTTACGTTCTGTTTATTGGATAGGTACCATTGTGTGTATAATCCCAAAGTCCTCAGAAAAATACGTGGTTGAAATGTTTCCAATATTAAACAACAGTTATCTTTGGATGCTTGTGATTGAGCAGTTATTTATATATAGTAATAAGCAGACTGCATCTTCATTTAGCTGTAATTTTTATGTGTATTGGAAAGCATGAGTGTATGGTAATTGTATTTAACATCTACAGATCTGTAAAAGAAGGAGGACCTAGTCCCTGTTTGTCTTTCAATAACAGGGATCACAGTTGAATTTTTCATCTTCTATGTTTACAAGGAAGTCGTTTGATGACAATTAAAGGTTTGCTTGCAAGTGCATTTTTCTGTGTTTTCTTTCAATTACACAAGAAAAGCAGTTCATTTGTTAGCCGAGTTTTCCTGATAATTCTGTTGTCTACTTTCATCAGGTCAACGTCTGTATAAGATTGAAGTTTACATCTGTGACAGTATGTTTATATAAGTTGGCAAGTTTATATAAAGTAGCATCTTAGTGCTTCCTGTCCATGTGAAGCAAAGTTTGGAAATAGTGCACATTTGATTTTAGGTAAGATGGAATAATCTACAAGTTGTAGGCTATGACTTTACACTACATTGATTGCTTAAAAACTGTTTTCAGGTCTCGTTCGTATGGTGAATGGAAACATAAAATGTTTTTCCTATGGTACTTGAGTACCCAATAGGTCACTTGCAATAGCAGTAGATAAAACTGTTGATCTTTGTATTTTACAGAAATACTGAGCTGCATTTTGTTCTTGCTTTAAATGATTTAAGCGTAGAAAGTGAGGGTTAGGCTTATTTGAAGTAGTTTTTAAGGCTTGTCATACAGGATGTATTCAAAAGATAACATGACTTTTTAAAAACTGGCAATTTATCTGTAGGATTATTAATAAATCAAGTTAAAGAAAGATAAGGTTAATTGAATTTTTAAACAAGTAGCTGTATTATCCTTCAAGCACCTTGGAGCTCATACAATATTCACACCTTTTTTTCCTAAGGAGTGCTTTGATATGTTTGAATTCCTTTTTTAATGAGTACTTTCTTTTTAACTTAGTTAATTGGATTAACCCTTAATATTCAAACAGTCAATTTTATGCCATTTTCCCTTCTGCTGTTGTATTGCCTTATCTGTATGACTGCAATTAGTTACTGTTCCTTTGGAAGTATTTTCAGCCATGAAACTGCTACGTCTGCTTTTTCTGGTGATGATGATGCTTAGGGCCATTTGACAGGTAATCATTAGAACTTGGATCCTTGCAGACTATGGGGTCTTTTCTCCTATCATTGCAGGGGGATTTATGTAGGTAACTCCTATTAATGTTAATGGGACTTGCATGTGTAAATCCTCCTTGCATCAATGGGAAAATTGACCCCTGGAAAAAAAAAATCTTCGTGTTAGACTTGCTGTCTCAGAAATGTCCAGGCACTGTCAGTTCCTGTGTGGAAATGTGATGGAGCACGTGCTTTGTGCCGTCTCACTGAAATGCTCTGAAGAGGACTGGGGGAATTCTCAGGGTTTTTATCTTTTATATTTTCCATACATTCACAAATCTCATCAGATTTCCTCTACACGTTTCTCTTTATGTAGCTAGTATTAATTTCACTTTCGGTATCCAGGAGGTTGCATGTCTGCATTTGCCTCAATGTCCTTTAGGCCCCTGGTCTCTCCTCTCCAAATCTTTTTGCATCAGCAATGTGAGTTGCAACAGCTTAATGTCAAGAACAATTTGCCAGTAATGTATTGATTAATGACAAGTCAGAAGTATTAAAATACTGTTTTCACACAATAAGAGACTAGGTCACTTGCAATCCGTAATCTCAATTGTTGAAAGGATAAAATCGATTTCCTCAACACTTTTCCATGCTGGGAGGAGGAAACTTGAACTTCCCACTTTCCTGGGATAGTGGAAAGAAGAGAGGCAGACACACGTGGAAATAGGGATAAAATGGGGGCTGTTTGTCATAACATTCATGCTCTGAGATCAACTGAGTCTTGCACTTTTATTTCCCCTTACGCTCTGTGAGATTTCTACACAATTTCTAACAGTTTATGGACTCCAGGGGAAAAAATATATTTGTGTATTGTCAAATGAGGCAACAACAATTAACCAAGAATGGAATAACATATAAATGGAGTAATACCCAGCACATGCACTGAGGACTTTGCAATACAAATAAGAGTATTATTGATTTATCTGTGGGTATATTTATCCATTCTGTATTGTGTATTTTGCTGCTCTGTCAACTACTGTAGGTCTTGTATATAATCCTCTGCAGTACATTTTAGGTTTTTACTTACCTGAAAATTTTATATCAGTAGCAAATTTTATCACCCCTTAACATAATTTATGAAATTATTCAGCAGCACAGTTTGAGATGATTCCTCTTTTTTTGCTAGCTGTCAGTCAATAGTAGCTTCCTTTTACCTGTGCTGGTCAGGTTTGGTGGTTTTAAGTGTCTTTGAGGGATCTTGTCAGAAGTTTCAGGGAAGGCTAGCATCATTATAACCTGGATATTCTGTATCCATCAAATTAGACGCCTCAAAAACTTGTAGATTTGTGTGACACAGCTTTTCTCCATGAGAGCCTTGTTAACTCTTTC